GTATGGAATTCATGTGGCAGTGCTGTTAAACTATAGTCAGTGCCTCTGTTGATGGAGCTGTATCTGTCAAGATGCTACATTTTATATATTTAGCTATACATAGCATAGATTAGTAAACCTAATTTAGGAACCTTTTAAGAAAAAAATTTTTCATCAACCTTCAAAATGTTACTACCTGTATAATTTTCTTCATGGTTTGTGACCTATTAACCAAAATAAACGGTAGAAAATGTATAAGAGAAGTAAAGAAAATTGGGAAATCATCATAAAAATTGCTAGTTTTAAGTAGTGGGTGTATTTGTTGAATACTATGCTATTCAGCTGAAACTTCCATTTTATTAACTTCCTGATAAATGACATTGAACTAGGTGGTGAATTTGGCAATTTGGATGCAAGTGGAAGTTATATAAGAATAGGTTATATAACCTTTAGTTATGCCTATAAGAGGGGGAAGAGGGATACACCCTTTCCTTCCTCTTTCTTTCTTCCCATGAACTAGAATGTAGACATGGTAGTGAATTGTTTTTAGCTACCTGAAAGGGAGAGTATGATGCAGCAACAAGAGACAGCAGTTTTGCTTTCTAAATGGCAAAACCAGCCCTGAATTATTTCCTTCCAACTAACATGTGAAAGGGCAAATGAATTTTAAAAACCAAGAGTTAATAGTAGAAGTATCTTATTCAGAAGTATGGAGAAACAGCTAGAAGTTTGAAGTGTTATCACAGGTTAAAGTAACTACTCTTTTTTGTTATAAGCCTTTTGAAATAGAGCAAACTCTGGGGGAAAGGAGATGACCCGGTTAGTGGTTCTCACAAACAACCAACAGTAACAAGATTTATTTACATAGGGAGTGAGAAAAGGTTGGGGAATGAGGAGGGCCTGACTTTAAAGGCCATTGTGGATGCAGTCTGTCCTGTCCCAGTCTGTGTGGTGCAAAAACCAAAGTCCAAGCAGTGGCCAGATGATAGCTGATCTGCTTGGCAAAGGAAGCAGGAGCCAGTCAAATGGAGCTCGGCCATAGGCAGAGGCCTGCAGGCAAGCTACACACCTTGGGGACACCCAGAGCCACACAATGCCAGAAGAGGAAGAGCCTCCCACCCCCCTAAAAAACAAGGAGGAATGGCCTCTTTCCATCTTTTATTTATTTGTTTGTTTGTCTTAAAAGATTTATTTATGCATACAGAGCTGGGGTACAGGCCAGAGGTGCAGGGGCGGTGAGAGGATTCACCAGAGACAAAGCGGGAAGCAGAACAGGTCGACTGACAAAGTATCTTGCTGAGGGGAGCAGCAGATGTGTCAGGAGAGGTCTGCCCACACCATGTGGGTCACTCCCTGGGCGGGCAACAAACTCATGCGGAAGTGGCTTTAACTTCTTAGCGCTGTGCTTTAACCTGCTGTGCCACCAGGGAAGACCCTTTTTATTTATTATTTTAAAAAATTTATTTATTCATGTATACAGAGCTGGGGTACAAGCCAGAGGCGCAGGAGAGGTGGGGGAGGGGGATGGTTTGAGAGGATTCAAGAGGCTGAGTAGGGAGCCCAACAGGCAGATTAAGTGAAACACTGCTGAGGGGAGCAGGAGGCGGATCAGGAGAGGTCTGCCATGCCATATGGGTCAGCTCCCTGCCTGGCGATCGAACTCATACTGCAGTGGCTTCAGATAGCTTCATAGTGCTTTAACCCATTACACCACCAGGCACTTCTTTTAATTTGTCAGACTACACTTTGTTCCTTTATTTTCCTTTTCTTTCTTCTGTTTTTAGTTAATAAAACCAGCCCAGATTGTAGTGGCTTAAAACAATAACCATACATTATCTCTAATGGTTTCTTTAGTATAGAATTAGGGAGGGTTCTGCTCATTGGATTTGGCCTAAGTTCTCCCACAGTGTTGCGACCAGATGGTGGTTGCCTGGATCTTGTAGAAGCCTTCTTTATTCACAGATCTTGGAGGACTCCACCAGCTAAGTGTTCTCAAGCAACTCTTATCTGTCTTTATGGTCTCTCCAAAATGACAGTTTCAGGGCAACTGGACAACTTGGAGCCCAAAGAGAGACATTTTTTGACTCCTCAGAGATCCAGGAGGGAGGTCTGGCAAATTTCTAACTAACTTATTGCTCAGACAATATCACTTCTGCTGGTTTTGATTTATTACTAAATGGTCCCATATTCAGAAAATACATTTTTTTCTCTGAATGCTCTTTAGAATTTTGTCCTTTTTAGTGATTTGAAATTTCATCTATAAATGTTCTGTTATGAATCTTTTGTGTATGTCTTTATGTTTGTCACTCATTGGCACTTAAAATTTGAAGACTTCTAGCTTTCTCGATTTATCTCTGGAAATGTCCTCTTATTATTTTTTTGATTCTGTTTCATGTCAAATAGCTGGTATGGAACTTGGTATCAACTCTTACTCATTCTCATTCACCCTATATCTCTGTCTCTTTTGTATCTCTGGGTGGAGAGTTGTAAAGACTTACTTTATAAACATTATTTATGAATACATCGTATTATATCGTTTTGTCTCTATATATTCCCTTCCTTCTCTACTTACTTATCCTGAGAACCACAGGAAAGTGTTGAGGAAGAGATCTTGTGATTTCAGTTGAGATATCAGTGATTTCAGTTACATAGAGTGAATTTCCATTATGCTACACTATGAAGAACATTGTTCTTTAGAAAGGTAAACCCTAGCATGATTTCTGTATTTACTTACCTCCACACCTACCCAACCCCCAACATATAGTGTTCAATTGTCAGTTTTAAAATATTCACAGCTTCTATTTTTAAATATAATTAGTAATATAGCTGTTTGTTAAGAAAGTACCCTCAGTATTCCTGAAAATTTTTTTCTTAAAAATTTCTCATCACAATTAAATTTACTTGGGTGAATTTTGTAAATGTAAATGTAAAAATTGTTACCTTTAAACTTGGATCATAATGTTAGAGACTCAAGATTGATATGAATTTCAATATAGTATAATATTTATTCCCTGTTCCTCCTTATTTGTCAGGGAATCTTAACCAGAGAGAAATTTCCTGGTACTGTATTGAGAGTGCAGGGCACGAGAAATTTCCATAAAAAGGCATAGGATTTGCTTGGAAGAACTCAGTGGTTTTCTTACTTGGCAGTAATGAGAACTAACCCCCTTCAAAAGGAAAATATTAATTACTCCTTATTAGGTATTTGTGTGTGTGTATGTGTGTGTGTTTGTTTTCTGACCTATGTTATTTTTGTATTTGCTTGTGTGCATATGTGTATTTATAACCTGTGCTATTTGTTGGGTGTGAAAACAAATTTCTGTATGTATAGTATATGTGAAAAATGGCTTTGAAACTTGAATGTCATACACTTAAATGAGGGACAGGGCCAGATATTTTGTAGTTGCAGAATACCCAAAATATTTGACCTTGAGTGAGTGCTTTCACCAGATTCTGTTTGAGGGGTTTAAATGAGCCTTGCTTTACTGGGAGACCTTCTGGAAGATACACAATTTTGGGCTAGAGGTGATTAATTTGCTTCTTGTTAAACTGATAGCAATCCCCAGACTGAGAATCTGCGCATGCCGAAAAAGGCAATTACAGACACGGGGATCTGTCTGGATGTAATACTTGCCCTATGTTTAACCATATAAATTTTTTTTAATAGAAATAAAGAGAATGATGTGAATGCAGATAGAAATTTCCTTCTGCAGTATTTAATATACTGTTAATTCCATCCAGGGATATTTGAATTTAAAACACAGTTTCTTGAACACTAAAAGTTCTTTTGGATCTTTTTTATGGCTACCATCTCTCTCCTTGTGTTCTCATGTTTTCCTTTAAGTCCTTAATACTTAAAATGGCAGTTTTAGAGTCCTCATTGGCTCTTCTGTTATCTAAAGTCTGGGACTATTTCACTTTTGTTTGACTGACTTCAGGTCACATCTTTTTCTTTCTTCACATGCCTTTTAATATTTTATTGGACACTATAGGCATTTATATTGTAGTAATTTTCCTAACACAAGGAATTGTTCAACTTACAGTTCCTATTGATTCTTCACCTTATTACCTCATGAAGTTTCTTTTTCTTTTATTATTCCTCATCAGGTTTTACCCTGCACACCATCTTTAGCTTTTAGCTATAGACTCATGTGGACCCCTATGTAGATTTTTGGAATTTTCTGTGCATGACTACTCCTCTTTGGTATGCTTCATGTCTTTTCTTGAGTTCATTCTGCACCATGGACTGAAATGTGCCTCTGAGAAGAAAGCCAGGGCAGTAGTAGATCTCTGCTTATTGTCCAATATCTCAAAACCATTGTTTCTTTTTGTCTAGTGTTTTAACTGTTTACAATGGAAAGTACCAACCCTGCTCACTCCAGCATGGCCACTGGACATTCTTCCCATGTTTTTACCTTTTAAAGTAACCATGGAGATTTAAAAAAAAAAGTCTATATTCCTTTCATTCCTCTAACAAGTTGGACTTTATGGAGTATACTATTAATGACCTATAGAGTTTTAAAATTTCTATCCATAATATTCCACTCATGTCCAAGTAATTTTTAAGGTAATATCTTACATGGTTCTACTAAATAAAATAATGAACAAAACAATAAAGAATTTCTACCATGTAATATTTTAAGCAAGTAAAAAAGTTGTAGGTCACATTAAAGCTCGTAAGTGAGCTTTTCAGAAATAGTATATAGGTTCTTTAAATTACAACATTGTAAAGAACTAGGTTCATGACTATAGTTATAAGACAACTAATTTTAATCATTTTATCTACTGCAGAAACATTCTTAGAAATAACAGTAGGCCACTGATTGATGCCTGAAGATAGTTCTCTAAACTTTTTGTTAAGATATGCTTGTTTTGCTGTCTATTCTCTTTCCTCCCCTAGCCAGTCTTAAGGGGAAAAGCAAGTAAACTTGTATTATTTGAATTAACAGTTGTACACACTTTTAGACTACTCACAGTGTTTTTATTTTTATATTTATTTATGTATTTTGGTTTTGTTTTTCAGATCGTCAGTGTTTAAACAGACCACATCATGCGTGAGTACAAGCTAGTGGTCCTTGGTTCAGGAGGCGTGGGGAAGTCTGCTCTGGTAAGTTAGCCACCTAACTACAACTGACTCATGTACAACTGACTCATGCTTTGAAACTTCTAATCATTGAGGAGAAAAAGTGGCGGTACCTTTTATATGCCTGGTCTGACTCACAAGGGACAGGAAATCTAAGCACTGATGTATAGTTTTCTAGTTGTGGCCCATTCATTCTTTCATTTACCAAATACGTATTTGCTGCTTAGCTATAAGTCAGATGCTAGTGTTTATGATTCAGAGAGGAGAAAGATTTGTCTAATTTTTAGGAACTTCCATTTCAGTGGGAAAGGTTGGTTATTATAGATACCAGTAGAATAAATCCTTCCCTGCCCACCAACCCAGATGTAAGTGCAGTGAAAGTTATTTTTTTTGTCCTTGCAGTAAATTGTGCGCTTACAAGTTCGTACTCTAGGGCATACCAGTAAAGAAAAAATAGTAATAATTTTCCTCATAGCACTTATAATGGAGAAGTAATAAATAGGTAAAAACTACTTTATTATAATTATGCAAGATACTCTGAAAGAACAGTACAGATTGTTACAAGAGACCCTATGATGAGAACCAAAATTAGCATTTGAACAAGTCAGAGCAAGATTACAATTGCTGGAAATGAGGTGAGGGGCCAGACCACAGTTACATATATGACACTGCAGTCATTAAAGGTAGGGTTTCTTTCAAGGTGCTGATAGTAAACTTGCATATATGTTTTAAAGAAAGCACTTTGATTGCTGTGTAGAGTATGAGACAGGCAGAGTGGTTATGGAAGATAAATTGAAGTTAAGATAGCATACCAGCTGGTTGTTTTTAAGATTTTTTTTTTTTAAGATTCGTTTATTTATGCATATAGAACTGGGGTACAGTCCAGAGGTGTGGCGGGTGAGAGGATTCACCAGTGACAGAGTGGGGGACAGAACAGGCAGATTGACTGAAATACACTGCTGAGGGGAACAGCGGGTGGATCAGGAGAGGTCTGTTGCAACATGTGGTTACCTCCCTGCTGGGGAATCCAGCTTGTACTGCAGTGGCTGCAGATTGCTTCATAGTGCTGTTTTAATCTGTTGCACTACCAGGAAGGGCCCAAGATTTTTTTTTTTTTTTTTTAAATGGGGTGTAGACCAGAGGTGTGGGAAGTGAAAGATACACCAGAGACAGAGTGGGGAGCAGAGGAGGCATGAGAGCAGCAGGTGAGACAGGAGAAGTCTGCTGTGCCTTGTGGGTCAGCTCCCTGGCTAGGGTTTGAGCTAGTGCTGCATTGGCAACTGATAGCTTCATAGTGCTGAGACTTAGCCCCTTGTGCCATGCAACATGTTGCTTATGAAAGTTTAGATTAGGATCATGGCAGTAAAAAAGAGGGCAAAAAGTTGTTTTGAAAATAAGATAGGAGGTAGAACTGGCTAACTTAGTGCTGGATTGATGTGGGCACTTGGAAAAAAAAAGGAACCTTCAAGGATGACTCCCAATTTTAATAAATGGGAATCTCTGGAGAATGAGCAGATTTGAGAGTGAAAATCAAGAGTCATGTCAAATTGGATGTTTGTGAGATGTTAAAGTAAATATAGCAAATAAATAACTGATTGTCAAGATAATAGTTTGAAAGAGAGACTTATGCTATCATTTTGGGTGATGTGACTTAACAGTTGTATTTAATTTCATGAGCATTAACATTGTGAGGAGTATAAATTATCCATCTGTGGTGAGTAAGAATATGTTATGTTATTTAAAGTTTTATTTATTTATGCATACAAGAACTGGGGTACAGGTCAAAGGTGTGGGGGTTGAAAGGATTCACCAGAGACAGTGGGGAGCAGAACAGGCAGCGCAACTGAAATACATTGCTGAGGGGAGCAGCAGGGAAGTAAGCCCACACTATGTGGGTCACCTCCCTGGCTGGGAATCGAACTCATGCTGAAGTGGCTGCAAATAAATAGCTTTATAGTGCTTCATGCTAACCCTTTGTGCCACCAGGGAGGACTCTGAATAGCTGTTATTTTAAATGCATGTAACTTTCTTTCATCAAGGCTCACTGATAGTCTCCACACCATGTTAAATAATCAAAAGTACTCAGGCTGACATTGGGCAGGAATTGGGGGCTGCCTTAAATCTCTTATACTAAGATACCTAAAGTGTTAGGTGAAAGTATCAGGTCTTGGTAGCTGGTGATTCTTTCACCTGATATAAATATATTTATGTCACTAACTTCTCACTACATCTCAGTACTAGAGTTAGAATCCCTATGTAGAAGACATAGTCTGGTTAATTTTTTATCCTTTTTCTTCTTCTTTGGTGCAAGTTTCACTTTTCTCTCCCCCCCCCCCCCAATACTATCTTCTGGTTAGCTTTTTGGTCTGTAGCTGTGGGAAGCATGGTGATGGATCCTTGGTATTTGCAAAGGGTTATGGTGCCTCCCCTCTTCCAAGTAGACTTGGGATTTTTCATATTCATGACAGAGATAATGTTTCAGCCCAGACCCGTCAGATCTTTGGGGAAAGACTTTGTCAATGAGTCCTGTGAAAAAGTGACAGTGGGTGGCATTTGGTCAAAGCTGGTATAATAGAATTTCTAAAAAGATTTCAAATGTGGCGTGGGTATCTGAAAGTCTTTTTCTTTTCTCTTTTTTTCCTTAGGAACACTTTCTAGTTTGAAAAGGCAAAGTTTTAGCCTTGGTTCTCAGAATCTTTTTCCATAATCAAAAATGAAGAACTCCAATCAGCTTTTATTTATGTATGTTATTTCTAGTGGCGAGCTGATTAAAAATTCATATTGGGCCCTCCCTGGTGGTGCAGCGGGTTAAGGCACTGCACTGAGAAACTAAAGCAACTTCCGCATGAGTTCGATCCCCGCCTGCCCCGGAGGTGACCACATGGCGTGGCAGACCTCTCCTATCTCACCAGCTGTTTCCCTCAGCAGTGTATTTCAGTAGATCTGCCTGTTCTGCTCCCCACTCTGTCTCTGGTGTCCTCTCACTCCCTGCATCTCGGGCCTATACCTTAGCTCTTTAAAAAAAAAAAAAAAGTCATCCAGACTCTTTCTGGACATTTATCCACATGTAAGTTTGCATGTACAAAATCAGATGGTCAAAAATACCCTCTTCAATATTCATGAGCATTAACATTATTGTGAGGAGTATAAATTATACATCTGTGATGAGTAAGAATATGTTATGTTATTTAAAGTTTTATTTATTGTAGTGGTTACAAGTTTCAAAACAACTTAAATACCTATCAATAGAACAAGTTATATAAATATTAATGCATGTTTCAAGTAGGAATATTATATAACTATTAAAAAGGATGCAGCAACTCTCTATATATGATATCCAAGCTATATTATCAGGGAGTGGAGGAAAGGGGTACGGAAAGCATAGACTACCATTTGTGTTTTATAAAAAAGGAGAGGGCAAGAGGAGATAACTTTTCAAAAATAAATAAAGATAGAAGTCGATAGGTAAAGACTTGAGAGAAAAGAGAATTCAGAATTGCGCTCTGAGTGTCTTCTCAACCTCTGAGAATAGGTGGTATTGAAGACCATATTTTGTATCTGAATATAAAGAACATATCTTTAATTAAGATTGCAGAAAAGCAACGAAAAAATGATCTGGGAACATGGAAGTAGCCAGACTTGATAAAAGCTGTTTCAGTAGGTTAGCAGGGACATAACAGTCCTGAAATGAGTTGAACAGTTCCAAGGAAATGGAATTGTCAGTTGTAGAGAGTTGAAAAGGTCTAATTATGAAAAGGAATAGAATAGAAAAGGGAGCTGGGAGGCGGGGTGTGGAGGGAAGCTGTAGGTATCAAGGATCATGAAGTTCATGGAGACACTTTGTATTAAGGCAGGAGATGGTTCTATATTTTTATGCTGGGGGCAGTAATCAAGTGAAAAAGAAAATGTTGATGTAGGAAAGGAATTTAGTAATTGCTACAGAAAAAAAAAATGAAAGCAAGGAAGGAAAGAGAGGAGCCAGTAGGATAGGTAAGAAAAATAAAAGTCTGTATGAATCATGAACTGTTCATGAGAGCTGAGAGAATGAGATCCAAAGAAGTAATGAAAGATGCATTGTGTAATAAAAAAGTAGTGCCAGATGGTATTTCATTTGTGCAAATCTCTTTAAATCGGGCTTTTTTTTTTTTAAGATTTACTTATTTATTCACACAGAACTGGGTTACAAGCCAGAGGTATAGGCATGGTGAGAGGCTTCAGAGACAGAGTGGGGAGCAGAACAGGCAGATCCACAAAGTACACTGCTGAGGGGAGCAGTGGGTGAGACAGGAGAGGTCTGCCGCGCCGTGTGGGTCAGCTCCCAGGCTGGGGGTCGAACTCGCACTGTCGTGGTTGCAGCCAGCTTGCAGTGCTGCGTCCTAACCTGTTGCGCCACCAGCGAGGGCCTTTAACATCTGGCTTTTAGAAAGTGCTTGGATTCTCATACCTGCTTCTGCATCCATTCTCTTGCCATAGTTTATGTTATATACCCTTTGGAAAAAACCCCAGTGTAAATTTGAGGGGGAAAAAAAACCCAGTATTATCAGAACAGTTTTTCCTAAGTCTCTGACCTGAACCATATTTTGAGAACCTCTCATTCTAAAGCACATTAGGAAACCTTAGGTTGTTTTTCATATTTAAATTATGTGTAATTCTAAAAAGATGTGGTACTTCAGACATAAAAATAATGATTAAAGTTTTAGTGTGATTTTATTTTGAACTTCCTTTAAAGAGTAGGAACTTAATAGAAAAAAAGTTTCAAGCAATCTGTTGAGCTTGAGCTAAAATAATGCATGAAATATTCCTTTCGGTATTTTAATGTAGATGAATTTAGTCCATTGGCTTCAGTCCACATACTTGTGACCCTGTTTTAAGAGCTTTCCAGGAAATATTTCAAACTATTCTTCTGCATTTTATTTATTGAATAAGATTGCTAGTTTCATCCTCTTTCAGTCTATGCTTAGAAAATTCTGAGAAATTGGACCCTCCTAGGTGGCCTGGCGGGTTAAAGCTCAGCACTGCAAGCAAGCCACAGCTGCTTCAGTGCGAGTTCGATCCCCACCCTGGAGGTGACTCACTTGGCGTGGCAGACCTTTCCTGTCTCCCCGCTGCTCCCCTCAGCAGTGCACTTCATCAGCCTGCCTGTTTCACTCCCCACTGTCTGGTGAATCCTCTCACCGTCCCTGCACCTTTAGTTTGGACCCCATTTGTGTATGGATAAATAAATAAATCTTTTTAAAAAAAAAATTTATGGTGACTAACTTCAGTTACAGACAGTGCCTGGACTATAATAAGCACTCAGCAAATTTTAATTTTACTTTCCATTTTTCCCACAATTAGAAAGATTTTCAGAACTTTAAAGTTTAAAACCCTTTGGCCTCTCTCCTGGTATGGATTAAAAATTGCTATAGATACATAAAGGGATAATAGGAGTTTCTGGTAAATTTTCAGTTTTTATTGTCTGTCATGTTTTCATGTCTGTATTTGACTCCCCTTGTATTTTGAAACTTAATACAGTGATTATTTAACAGTGTAATGCCGGCGGCAGCATTGCTCATGTATTTGTAACATGAACTTCATCTCTTTATAGCTAGTGCAGTCTTAGTTATCGGTATATCCTTACATTGAAAAATAATTGAAAAGAAGTTGATTTTTTTTATTTCATGTCCTTAACTTACGTATGTTTTCTCTCCTTCCCCTCCCCCCAGACAGTTCAATTTGTTCAGGGAATTTTTGTTGAAAAGTATGACCCAACGATAGAAGATTCCTACAGAAAGGTAAATTCTGAAACTTGTATACACTTGGTAAAAAGTAGTTTTTTATTCTTAATGATTTTGCAATGTAATCCATGAAATTACATTTTAAATAGTAGTTTGAGAAATGGTACAAGTGTTCTGTATCTGTTGGTACACGTTTCACAAAGACATGATGTCTCTTGTACAATTTAGGTTTAGAGAAATTAATCTATTTCTTAATGTATACATTGTTCTGGTGGTTAATTTTTTTTAACAGAAAAAAATTAGGTTTATTTATTATAAGCAGTGAGTGTGTTTTTTCTAACTAAAATTAATATTGCTTTTATTCATGAAATTTTCCAGTGACTAAATTATTTTTTTGGTTCATAAAGATATTTTCCTTTAGTCTATAAAAAATAGTTGCATTCTGTGTGATGCTAGAATGGTGGATACATGTCATTATACATTTGTCCCAAGACATAGAATGGATAATACCAAAAATAAACCATAGTGTAAACTCTCTGGACTTCTGCATGACAGTGATGCATCAGTCATAACAAACGTGCTGTTCTGCTACAGGATGCTGACAGTTTAGGGCTGATAGGGCAAGCTGGGGAGTATACGGGAGTTATCAGTTTGCTTAATTTTGCTGTGAGCCTAAGCCTGCTCTACAAAATAAAAGCTTATTTTAAAAGAAAAGAAATTGAATAGTTGGCCTTGACAAAAAATTACTTTAGCTTTTACACAGTGAAGGAAAATAAAGTAGAATAAAAGGATATCCTATTAAATGGGAGAAAATATTTTTATTGCATACATATCTGATGGGATTAATAGTCAGCATGTATAAAAAATTACATAATTCAGCAGTAATGAAACAAATGAATAAATGGGCAGCATATCTGAATGGATATCTAGGAGGCCAGTGGATATATGAAAAAATGTTCATCTTTGCTTTCAATAAGAGAGTACCAGGTTCAGACCATAATGAGATATCACTTCACATCCATTAGACTGGCACATACTAAAAAGACCACTATGTGCTAGAGAAGAGGTGCAGAAAGAACACTACTACACTGTTGGTAGGAAATGTAAACCGTTGCGGCCATTATGGAAAACAATCTGAATTTACTTTAAAAAACTAAAGATATGACTTAGCAATCCACACCTGGGCTTATAGCCAAAGAAGGTGAAACCATCAATCCAAAAAACTACAATGTTTACTGTAGCACCATTTACTATAGTAAGACATAGAAGCAGCCAAAACCCCCAGTCAAGCAGAGGTGGTAAATCCACGCCCTGGAAAATGATTTAGCCATATATCATACGGAAAGATGAAATGCTGCCATCTACAACAAAACAGAAGGAATTCAAGGAAACTCTGTGAGGTAAAAACATGTCAGAATGACAAATATTGGATATTTATGTGGCACACAACTTAAAACACTTGAAAAGTAGCAGACACTCATAACAAGAAATTAGGTCACTGAAGTTGAGGGAGGTGGAAGGGAAAAAAGGTTAAGAGGATTTAAGGGCGGGTGAGGGGGAATTAATCTGATTCTAAAAATGTAGATACAAAATGGAAAGTTTACTACTGATAGAAAAAAACAGTAAAGAATTGGGGGGGGCGTATGCCTTTATAAACTAGTTAAAACTGTGGAGAATTAATTTTCATGATTGTATTTCCACATGTGTCAAGGCGGGGAGTGGGCCGGGGAGTGGGGTGATAGGGCCATAAGAAAGATTAATAGCCAAGGATATGTACCCCCTCTGAGCCCCACTCCCCGCCACCCCACAAGAGGAGATGAAACCTACTTTCAGCAAATAGGAATGGACTGATTTGTTTGATGCTCAGAATTTACCTTTAATAGTGCTTTTAATTTTGGTTACATTAAATCCATCAAGCAGACTGGCAGAGCAGTTTCACTGTCTGCAATTTGAAAGTAAAATTGTGTTCCAGGTACATTGAAAAACACTAGACCTAATTTTTTATTCATTGAATATGCCCAGTTATAGATTGTATCCTGTAAGTGGTGGGAGAAGTTTGTGGCACTGCCAATTGTGCTTTTCATTAATTCCGGATCTGACACAGAAGCAATTGAAAATTATCCTTATGTTAATACTTTTGTTTAAGAACACAGTATTGCTTTATTGAAGTTTCTCCCAAATTGTGACTGGTTAAAGCCTTAACCACAAATGGATATCTGTAGCTGGAATGCTGAAGATAAAACACTTTTCCTAGACCATATTTACGATGTTTTTCACATGGTTAATAGTTGGTACTGTCTTTACACCAACTTTCTTTTTTTATAAAGCACTGAAAAAATAGAATTCAATGTATAGACTTTCATCTGATACACACAACTTTTCCAAAGAAGTAACTTTTTCTTAAAGCCTTGAGCATTGAGTTCAGTTATTTCATTTTACTATTTTTGTGTTCCCTTTATCTCTTAAATTAAAATTTTCCTGTGTATTAAAATTTGGGTATATTTTAGTAAAATGTTAACAACTTGAGAGTAGTTGAAGACAATATAAATATACATATTTATATACATTTTTCTGTTATATATGTACCCATTTATTGCAGTTTTCCTTAAATTACAGAGTATGACCATTTGCCTTATAGTAGTGACAAGTATCATTATTTGAATTTGCCATGATCCGAAAACATCTAAAACTCAACATGAATAGTTCTGGCTCCTATTATATGAGTAGAATATGCTTGAGTACCTGTTTTTAACTAAAGTACAAATTAGTTTTCCACCAGTTCAGCAAACTGAGAAAGGCTTTCTAGATGTCAGTGGGTACTTTGAGTGAAAAGACCAGTGGAAAGCAGACTGACATGTTGTTACATTTTCCCTCCCTTTACAACAGCAAGTTGAAGTAGATTGCCAACAGTGTATGCTCGAAATCTTGGATACCGCGGGAACAGTAAGGATGTTTTCTCTTTTATATATATAAACACAGATTGTAATTTGTGAATAGCTTTTGCAATATAAATAATTCTAATTAGTATAAGTAATTAGTCTGATTAGAAATAAAAGCTCTAATTTTCTTGTACACATGAATCATGCCCATGTATCATGGTTAAATTGCATGTTGAGTTCACTTGCAGAATCTTTGTTTCTTATCCCTGTATTGAAGTAAAGATACATTATTTTTGCTTTAAAAATATTTTTAATCTAGAATTTTAGTTAAGACATATTTCTCTGGGTTTTAGTAAGACTTTGTCTAATATCACCATAGGAATTCATTTTTACAAAAATTGTTTTTGCTTTTTATTAAAATTTTAATGCCTCACAGGGCTGGTAACAGCTACTTGTTTTCTAACCAAGTCAAAAACCTTTTGCATTAATTTGAACCTCATTTTTCTCATCTTTAAATGAGTATAGATAAAATGGCATTAGCTTATCATATATGCTTAGAATGATAAATGAAATGATGATTATCTTAGCACAATGCCTGTTATGTAGTATGGGCTCCATGTATTTGCTTCTGTTTTCATTATCTTTATTAATATCATCTTCATAATTTTGTTAAGTTATTGATATTTTTCAGTTAATATACTGCTACAAAAAAAAAGCATGCATTAAGTTGTTTTTCTTTTCTTTCTTATCAGCTGAATAGGAAATCTTCCCCTCTTTCCCTTCTCACACCCCCATTTTCTTAACTTTTGAATCAGCAATAATCCCCCTGTTGACAAAGATCTTAGCAGTTAAAGATTACTTCTACTTCTTTACACCATCTCTACAAATATGAGGGTATTCTTTCTTTTTCCTCTTGTCTAGACTAAGGCAGCTCTTCCCTGCAGAGGTCTTTCTTTTGTGCTCTCAGATATCCTCTCCTAGCCTGTGCTCAGCACAGTGTCTGTCTGCACCAGTGCCGTACATAAAACTTGGAAAGTCGTTGGGACTCATTACTTTTGTCCCAGTTCACAGCTTAACACCTTGAAGAATTTTGCTTATTCTAACATTGTTCCAGTCAGATTTGTAGGTGATTTCAGTACCCAAATAGAATCTACACAGATATAATGATCCAGTATCTTGAAGTGTCGTCAGTTCCTTGACTTCTGTCCCATTTCAGCCACTTACACCCGTGCTTTTACCCTAGGTTATGCAATTGCCAAAAATGGTGAGACCGCTGGTCTCATCTCGAGCATCCCATTCTCCTCACACTGCCCCTCAGACCCCTGCAGCTGCCCTGGAACTGACAGTTTAACCAAGTATCTTTGATAACCTTTCTTATCTTCAAAGCCCTCTCTCTTTACATTGCTTCAAGTTGTGGTCTGTCCATTACACTCTATCCCTTGCTTGGATCGTCTAATTCTCTTGACTTTTCATCAACCTTTGACTCTGGTGCTCACCTCACCATCTTTGGTAAAATTTTATTCATCTGCTTTCCCAGAAATGACACTTGTCATTTTCTACCCATATCACTGGTTACTCCTCAGTCTTCTCTCCTAACTCATCTGTATCTCCTAACCATGGTTAACAAACACTAGAGGGTCTCATTTTTAGTACTTGGATTTCTCTTTTCTAACAAAACATATTTTCTTTAGTAGCATCAAAATAATGCAATTAGGATCTGTGTGTGAAATTATATATAATTTTTCTAAATCAAAAGAAGTTAAAGTGGCTAAGCTTTTCCTTCTGATTCTATAGTTAATTATTGTTCCTAGTTATATAAGTAGGAAACAAACATTCCCTGCAGAGTTTCTAGAAGGTGTGTATTATGTCTTACATTTTTTGTCATGACAAATGTAATAAAAAGTCAGTAACTTACTTGTGATTATTCCTATTTAAATTGTTTTAGTCCAGTGTTTAATAGATCAAACTTAAACAATTGCCTTTTTTTTTTTATTACAGGAGCAATTTACAGCAATGAGGGATTTATATATGAAAAATGGCCAAGGGTTTGCACTAGTATATTCTATTACAGCTCAGTCCACATTTAATGACTTACAGGACCTGAGGGAACAGATTTTACGGGTTAAGGACACAGAAGATGTAAGTATTTTTTATCTCTGGAAGACATACTGCCATCTCTGCATGCAAGTAGTGTCCATTGTCGTGTTCAGTAAGGGATTTGGAGGATGTCTGCTGCCTGCCTAACAGAGCCCGTGACTCAGAAGGTCGAAACACTTTCTAAATTACCTGAAAATGACATGCTGAGATAGTTGGAAAAGTAGTACAGAAAAAAGAACATGCTCATTGTGCTTTGGGGATAGAAGAATATTAGTAGCGAAAGGCGTCAAAGGTATTTGGAGAAGAAGCAATACTCAAGTTGAGCTTTGAAAGGTGGTGGTCGTTATCAGAAACAGTTCAAAGGATATTTACAACCATAGTGGTGTAGTCCTATTTTAAAAATTCTGTTGGTGTCACTTTTACTTAAAAGGTTTTTTTCTAGGGTTTAATTTTATTTTTACTTTCGAACTCTTATTTAATGAATGTCACTGCTGTTATGTTCTTTTTTTTTTTTCAAATAAATTGTATTTCAAATGTTAACCACAGCTTTAAACTACAGAGAGTTTCTTTTTAGTTGTTTGAATTCAGGTTCAGAATTCATTAGTCCTGTCTGTTTTTTGTGTTCCCTCTCATTATTAGTGGGGACATACGCACCTGTGTGAGACCTTGAACTAGGGAATATTGTAGGCAGGAGAGATTTATACCATATGATTCATGACCAGCCATAATCCAGTGAATAGTTCTCTTCCTTCCAGTGACTATCTGAGAGAGTTCTGTTTTCATATAATGGCATGCAGATCACTGAACTCTGGATTAAACTTTGTAAAAACATGTAATGAGCTTTTAAAAATGAAGTTTAGATGTGTATAGTCTTTCATTTAACTCAATTGCATATTTTGGGTGTAAAATCCATGTCTCTCCAACTTTTGTATATTGCCATCATTTCACAAACAAATGATTTTATTTTATTCTCTGGGCACCTTTTAACCAAGACTGTTAGATGCTTCGCTAGCAGGCTATGTTATTTGAAGTAGAGTATAAAGGTATATAGCCCCCTATCAATTTCTTTCCTCCCCTCTCTGCCCCCCACAGCACACAGATAGATGTTTTCTTTCAGCACTTGGTGAAGCTTACAGTCCTGACTAACACACTTTTGTAGGTGGCAGATATTTTCCTACCTATAAGAAGAGAGTAAATAATGACTATATTAGTACTTATTTTGTTTTTTCTTTCTCACAGGTTCCAATGATTTTGGTTGGCAATAAATGTGATCTGGAAGATGAGCGAGTAGTTGGCAAAGAACAGGGTCAGAATTTAGCAAGACAGTGGTGTAACTGTGCCTTTTTAGAATCTTCTGCAAAGTTAAAGATCAACGTCAATGAGGTAACCTCCATCTGCCAGCAACACCGACAAGTGCCTTTTTCAGTTTACTTTTTAAGTTAAATGCAGCCCAAACCAGTGTGTGTGGGGGGGGGGGATCTCGTTCTTTTAAGTAAACTTCCTTGTAACAACTTACAGAAAACATAATTCCTAGAGGTATATTCTTTGTATAAAATCACTTTGGTCATTAAAATGAGAATGTTTACCTTATTGGCAGAGAAGAAGTTTAAGTTAAAGAATATGTTTAAAATCCTGCTAAGTGACAACGTGTTCTATGAAAACTGTCATACAACCTTTGTATTGTACAGAATTGTGTGAATAGGTTGTAAAGGCAAGTAGGAAAATAGAAAAATCCAAGTAGAAAGATGGTACCTTATAAATACCACAGAGTTTGGTGATTTAAGTCCTGCTGCTCTTAGGTTTGTGACTCAAAGGGAGGAATCTGTGAGTGTGGACATGTAACAGTGATTCACTCTGTCTTCTAGGCCTGTACAGCAGGTGTGCAAGAATTTTTGCCTCTAACTAAAATGCTCCAATTATCTTGAGAACTTGGCGGTAGGCAGGGATACTTAACAAGTAAGCTGCCTACCTGGGTATAAGCCAGTGATTTTTTTTTTTAAACTGCCCCTCAAAATTTAGTACAATCCCCAACTAAGCAAAAACTTAAGTTCCCTTTTGTTCATTTTTACAGGTGCCAGTGTGTTTCATTTTAACCAGAGTAGGCTTTTTTCCTTTCCTGGTAGTGTAGAAGTGTTCACTTGCCAGTGTGCTGGCTGCTCATAGTGTCACAGGTAAACAGAGTTCAGATCACTTACACCATGAGTAAGAATTAAGAGTAAGTTCGATTATGGGTCCTCTGTTTTTGCTTGCTGCTGCTCTCTAGTCTTACTTCTTTAGGTCACTTTCTTAACTAGGATTATGACTGTAGACAGTTGTCTGCTCTTAAAATAACCAAATTACTTTAGACATCTGGAAGGGGAAAAAAATTGAATTTTTGATTTACAAATAATCAAGAATGCCAAAACTTGCTTTTTTAAGTAAAAGCAATATTGATAAGTACATAAAATTATGGAATTCATGGGCTTCCTGGTGGTGCAGGGGTTAAAGTTTCAGCGCTGTCAAGCTGTTGCCAGCCACTGCTGCATGAGTTCTATCCCCAGTCAGAGAGTGGCCCACATGGTGCAGCAGGCCTCTCCTGTTTCGCCTGCTGCTCCCCTCAGCAGTGGATTTCAGTGGATCCACCTGTTCTGCTCCCCACTCTGCCTCTGGCAAATCATTTCACTACCACCCCCATACCTGTGGCCTACATCCCACTTCTTATATGCATAATTAATTAAAAAAATCTTAAAAAATAAACAAATGTCATTCATTCAGCCAGTATTTATTTTTGTCTTGTATATGTTAGACACTGGCTAACAGTCATCCAGACAGATACATTCTTTCTCTAAATAAGTTTACATCTTAGTGAGGAATAGATCCTGCTGAGATTTTCAAGAACAATTAATTCTTTTCACTGCCAACTAATGAAAGATTACATAATATGCTTCCAGCATCAGTTTTCTCTGTTCCGGAATTATAATTTCGGATAGATGTTCATTTTAAAAATCTTGGCTAATCATAGCATTTTAATTTTTAGTGTAATCTTTTCAACAGTAACAAGATACCTGAGATAGACTGCAGTAGGACTGGTGACTGAGCTTGACCAGGGGCAGCAGTGTGCAGCCGGCATCTGCACATAGTCGGCCTCAAGTGAGGTTCTTGCTGTCCCTGTCCTCTCACTGGTACTGACCCAACCTAGTTCGCAGTGCTCTCCTGGGCCTGCTTGCACCAGAGTCCAGGGAGCACCATGGAGAGGAGGAGAGGTATTCACTTGCTAAGCATTGAGCGTTGGTGGGAACTTCCATGCTAATAAACCCCTCGCTGCGTCGCTGTTTCCAGTCTGCAGGAGCTCCTTCATCACAGCAGTCTTGTTAATGTCAACTCTTGCGACAAAGGTTTATAAAACAAGATGGAAAAACAGCAAACAAAATTAAATATACTAGCTATCTAAAAATCTTTATTCTTTTGAATAACACAAACTTAATGCTAGAAGTTCTTGAGTATAAGAATTAGAATTTTTTAAAGATTTATTTATTTATGCATACAAAAACTGGGATGCAGGCCAGAGGTATGGGGGTGAGATGATTAACCAGAGACAGAGTGGGGAGCAGAACAGGCAGATGTACTGAAATACACTGCTGTGGGGAGCAGTGGGCAACACAGGAGAGGTCTGCTTCACCCTGTGGGTCACCTGGCTGGGGATCAAACTCATGCTGCAGTGGCTGTGGACAGCTTCACAGTGCTGTACTTTAACCTGTTGAGTCACCAGGAAGGGCCCTGAGAGTTTCTTTAAATGTTTCCTTTTTCATAGCCTCGTAGTCCAACCAGAGTTCCTTGATAATTAGCTCCTTAGACAGCTAATGTCTTGTATATTTTTTAAAGGTTTATTTATTTATGCATAGAAGAACTTGGGTACAGGCCAGTGGGGTGGGGCAAAGGAGGGGGTGAGGAGAGGATTCACCAGAGACAGAGGATTCACCAGAGACAGGCAGATCTACTGAAATACACTACTGAGGGAAGCAGCGGGAGACCGGAGAGGGCTGGTGCTTTGCGTGTGTCAACTCCTTGGCCATGGATCAAGCTTATGCTGCAGTGGCTGGTGATAGCTTGATAGTGCTGAGGATTTAACCTCTGCACCATCTGGGAGGCCACTGTAAAGGGCATTATTGGGATAATTGACAAAATAGGAATTGCTCTGTAGACAATACAGAGTCATGTGCCAGAGCCTTGAGTGGTAACTGACGTACTTATGTAAGAAAATATCCTTGTTCTTAAGGAATATAGACTCAACTATTAAGAGACTTAAGGTCTACTTATGTAGTAACTATGAGTACTATACTTTCAAGTGGTTAACAGATGCCTTTGGGGGGGGAGGTAAGGGAAAGAGAAGTGATGAAGTACATTGAAATTTTTAGCATTTACCAGAATTGTTTTGTGCAACAAGGTCTCAAATGTTGGTGAATAAGTACGTTTTTGTTTTAATGTAGATATTTTATGACCTGGTCAGACAGATAAATAGAAAAACACCAGTGGAAAAGAAGAAGCCTAAAAAGAAATCATGTCTGCTGCTCTAGACCCAAAGTAAGCAGCAGCTCTGAGCCAGGTAAGAGGCTAAAAACAGAACAGACACCTTTCTTTCTTATCCTTTTATTCAGGTTTTCTCCCAACTCTTAACCATGTGTCCTATTTCACCTACGAGGGTATTTGAGACTTCTGTAACTTGTAAATGTGATATGTATAGCTTAGAGATATGTCCAGCTGTTGGGTAATTTCTCTCCCCGTGAGAGTCAAAGTGGCCTGAGGGCAAGGGCCAGGTCACTTTTGCGCACCAACATCCATAGTGCCTGCTGACAGTGGAGACTCCTAGAACAGTGTTTTAATGAACAGAATGCTTTCCCAGGTTTCACTCAAATTCATACAGAAGTGACAGTGGCTCATCTGAAACAATAGGTTTTAAGTACACTTGATGAATTATTTCAAAGTGAACACACCCGTATAATATCACAGTACTCAGCCCTCTCCATATGTAACTCCTGCCCTAATTTCTGGCACCATGGATTAGTTTTGCCTTACTCTGATTTAGTGTAAACAGAGTGTACTCTATATTATGTCTGAATTCTTTCATCAAAAACTTGCTATTGAGAATTGTCTTTGTTACTTATAGTTCCTTTTTATTGTATGACTATACTAGCAATAAACTTTTCATATCTTGCTATTGTTGCATATTTGAGTTCTTTTGCAGAACTAGTTTAGGATAATGTACAAATTAGTGTAAACATCTGTGCACCTGTGTATATCTAGAAGTGGAAAGGCCAGACTCTACCCTGTGTATATGAACTGCCTTCGTAGATACTGCTAGAAAGTTTTTCAAAGTAGTTTGGTATTACCAGTTTACACACCTACCAGATGTTTGTGAGTTCCCTGTCTTCCCCAGATTTGGTGTTGTGAGTCTTTTTAACTTGAGCCATTTCCTTGGATGTGTGGTGGTATTTCAGTTCAGTTTTGGTCATTTCTTCACAAATACAAGTTGACTTTCAAATGTTATATCTGTAGGTGCCTAAGAACAAACTGACTTTACCACCTCTATTTCATTAAGAATACCACTGGAATTAAGTCTCAGTCCTACCACCGTGAAGGCCCACTGTGAGGGCTTGAGTTCAGGCGCTGGCCTAGGAGCTGACCCATATGGCACGGCAGACTTCTGTCTCGCTCTCTGACCCCCACCCTGTCTCCAGTGAATACTCTCAAACCCATCCCCCCACACCTCTGACTTGAACCAAAATAAATACATAAAAGCTTTAAAAAAAGAGAGCGAGTAATTAAGAGAATCCAGTGGAGAGACATTAGTGGCAGCATCAAGGCTGCCTGTCTGAGAAACTTAGGCCTTTTGGGACCATTTGTTTTTCTTTAATTATATTTTCAAATTCCCTGAGTAGTATCTATTTACCTTCACCAACTCTATGTAAACAGTCCCATAAAGGAATATTTTCTTGGAGTATATTTATGATGTATTTTGATGCTAATTATATGAGTATTACTAAACATGGTATTGTTGGAGGAAAGTCAACTGTTCCCACTTGAGAGTTGATTGCACAACTCTTGTAAGCCTCTTGAGTCTTTTCAGTACATTACTTCTTCCATCACACCAACTAAAATAATATGTGCTTCCTTAGAGATGAGTGAATCTCTCATCAGGAAAGTAAGAAAGTAATTGTACCCCCCCC